GGGGGCTGGTGTTCTTCCCCCCATGATTGATTGATTGATGCTTGCGGGATGGGTGGGTTCGGACTAGTTGTTGCCTGATGGAAGAAATTATTTTCCATGGGCAGATGGGTGATCGAGGTGGGCGGCGCCGAGGGCACGCTCTACGCCGGCGAGACGTACCAGCTGCAGGTCGACTTCCCCGAGCATTACCCCATGGAGGCACCTCAGGTGAATTCTCCTCCTCTTCTTTTTTTCCCATGATGACGGTGGTGATGAAGGTTGCACTTGCACACTTAGTTATCTTATTATCTCTGTTCTAGTGTTATTATGTTGCCTCAGTTTGATTCTGCTGGATCAATTGGAAAATAACCCTGCCTTTTCTCCAGGTCATTTTCCTCAACCCGGCGCCGATGCACCCGCACATTTACAGCAACGGGCACATCTGCTTAGGTAAACTCCATTGTGCTGCGCCTCTCATCCCCTCTCCTCTCCTGGAGAAAAAATATTTGTCTATGCCTCCATGCCGGTGCTTATTTCGATTAGCTAACTTTGCATATGGTGTGTGGGAATGTTCCTTGCCTAACCTAATCTAACGTCTAGCTGTCGGTTAGGTGCCAAGATTCCATTCGTTAGCGGAAAGTAACCACCACCCTAGTCCTCAAGTTGTGCCTTTGCCAGTTTTTGGAGTGGCGACACGGTTTAGCTGCTTTAATAACTCGCCTTTCCTTTCCATTACTTGAAAAAGGAAGTTTTTGTGGGATTACCAGAATCACGACCTTGTTAGATGCAGAAGATGCTTTGTGCCTTGCGTTCCAAGTTTGTCTCCTTTTCCCCGCTGACCTTGTTCGGCGCGGGTCATTTTTGTCCGGTTTGGGCAGCTACCATCAACATTTCTATAATTGTTAATCGTTCCAGTATTAGTCCTCAAGTGTGCCTTTGCAGTTTTTAGAGTAGCTGCACTATTTAGGTGCTTTAACTCGCCTTTTGATTCCATTACTAGAAAAGGAAGTTTTGGTGGGATTGCCAGTCCAGATGCATGACCTTGTAAATGGAGGTGGCTTGTGCTTTGCGTCTAAGTTCTCTCACTGTTCCGTTGGTGGTGGCTTGTCTCTTTTCCCCCGTTGACCTTGTTAAATGCAGGTCATTTTTTTCGGGTTTGGGCAGCTACCATCGACATTTGTATAATGGTTAATCGTTCGAGTCTTCAGTATGTTCTGTTACTTGCAAAAAAAAGTCTTGTGTTCTCTTGAATGCCTCATCTTTTGCTATTAGAAATCAATTTGTTTTCTCGCGTTTAACTAAACTATCTATGTGAAAAAGATAGCCTATGTAACGGAACTTCCATTCAGCTACGTCAACAGACATTTTTGGTTGCTATCTGTCAAATCATATCAAGTCAAAGTGGATAATCTGTCTTCGAAGTGAAATATTCAACAACTTTCCATGAACATGTTTATATGTTAGCAGGATATAACTGAATTCCCTTGCAGCTTTTCCAATGTTGGATGTGGCATTTACTATCGCTATTCATGAATATACCAAGCTCAAACTACTAACTAAATCTTATAATAAAATAGGCAGGTGGGTGGTAACCTCAAATGAAAACACCAGTCACTTTCCATATTAATGATATGATATCTTCAGCATAGCTTTAGCGTACCTTTTTCTCTTGCTGATAATCACAATATCAAAGAGCCTGTTTGTCCATTTCCATCATTCCAGTTTAAATGTACACTATAATTCATTGTCAACCCAGCGTGGTAGCATCACTACTGCAATTGTCAGTAACTCAGTGATATTCCAACTGTTCAAGTAGTTCCAGTTTGCAACTCAGCTTCCATTCATTCCAGTAAGGTACCCCAGCTAGTCGGTGACAAGTAGTTTGTGCTAAACAAGTTGGAGGCACCCTCCCGGAACCCTGCCCCACTGGTGACCAGTACAAGTATTAAGCTAAGCTGCAGCCTTTCCCCTTTTCCCTCCCTTCTGGTGAGGATTATTATGAACATGAAATTGGAGTCTCTCAAGCACCTAACCCACCCCTGTTTGAATCCTAAAACCACCCCTATGTGAATAAAACAAGCACCTTCCCTACTGACTTGACATTTGGTTCATGTGGTTATTTGCTAAGAAAGCTAGTAGGGGTTATTCTGTTTGTATTAATTTTGGTAACGTTTTAACTTGATGGTGGGTGTGAGTTAAAGAGATATACAATGTTTGGGTGTCTAAACTTTGAAGCTTTGAGTGTAGGGTAACAGGGGCATGCTCACATGCATTCAAGTTATATAACCACTATCACCCTGAACCTTGGACTTCCATTGCAAGACTGAGTCACGTTTCTTGATCTATTAATCTGCTTTATCTGGACTTGCACTTGCTCAACTTTGCAAAAGACCACAACATTTCTGCTTTTTTATTATCTTAACTGTACCTAGGCCCAGTTGAAGAGTCAACCAATTATAGTTTTCTTGTCAAGGTTTTTAATTATAAAACAGCTGCACATATGACACTTACATATATGATTTTGTCGACTGTGTAGTTCTCAGTGTGATCTCTGCCACACAAATTAGAAAAAGAAGAGGCTGAATGTTCATGTGACCCATCCTAGCAAAATTGTAGGTGAATGTCTTGGACGTATAGCAGTGCTCTTTAAACTAATTTGTCCCATGTATAGTTTGTTATAGACCCAGATTGCTTAGTTCAAATTGATTTGTCCCATGCCTGTTTTAGCATCAATCATGAAGTGAGTAGTAACTGAAGGGCTATGAAGATCTGTAACACGGATAATACCCTGTCAATTGCCTAGTTCAGGTAACTGAGGGTCTGAAGCCACTGAATTTGAGATCCAATGTAGCTGAAAAATGTTTGTAATCTTATTATTTGTCATTGATAGACCTGTAAATCAGCAAGATCAGTAATCTTCTGACTCCCCTAGGTTAAATTTCCTGACCTATGCCTATAAGGAAGAACTTACCCTTTTCTTTTGTCTTTGAACATTTGAATTCTTTGTTTTCTTGATAGAAATTCCTTCTTCACAATATAAATGTACTTCTGGGCCCTTTCATTGTTATTCTTATGATTTTCTATGATTGTGAACGAATAGGGTTACAATTGATTTTGCATGATTTATAAGATAAAAGGGTTCTGCTTCTCTTATCTGCAGATATACTGTATGACTCGTGGTCGCCTGCGATGACTGTAAGTTCAGTCTGTATCAGCATTTTGTCGATGCTGTCTAGCTCGCCAGCAAAGGTTACACCAGTAACCCCCATCCATCTATCCCTTCATCACATATCAAACACGATGTTCTTTTGCTTGTTCTCTTACTAGCTACGCATTGTATTGGTCAACAACAGCAACGCCCGGCGGACAATGATCGCTACGTTAGGAACTGCCGCAACGGGAGGTCGCCCAAGGAGACCCGATGGTGGTTTCATGACGACAAAGTATGAGGGGCATCGAATCAATTGGCTCTTCTGGCCACCCCATACTCGCCAGCCAGCCTTCCTTACCGTGAAAGAAATCTCTTCCAAGGGGAGATGAGATGAGATGATTTAGGCTTAAAAATTTAAGCTAAGCAACCCCTCTATCGTACTGCGGATCTTAACATGCTGTGGTGGTTTGTACATGAGCTCAACACATGTTGTCGAAACGTGAATATATCATCGCTACCGACGATGAGAGATATATAGAATAAGCAAGTGTAACCTGTCGATGCGCTGGTACAGGCACAAAAGGAATGCAGATTTATCTATGATTTGCTACATTGTTTCGTGCTATCTGTCTGCCTATAAACTTTGCTAGCCTGCTGACTGATGCCCTACTAGGCTTGTGTCCTTGAGTGAATTTGCTGAAATCAAGTGAAAATTTCGGAACAAGTCCAGTGTGCTTTTAGTTTGGATAAATTTGATGCTAAATGCCTATTGTGGACAAGAAAATTCCTTATTTTTTTAGTGGAAGGAAAATTCCTTCTTCTGCCAAATGATTGCACCAAATAGTTTGCACTGTAAAAATGTGGCTTAGAATGGACAGTTCCACAAGAACACAAGGAACGGCGAGAAGTAAATGGCCACTAGTGCAATGCTCAATGTTGTCAGAAAAGTAAATGATGCTAAATGCTGAATGGTTTGTCACAATTTATCCTTATTTCAAGTCTTCGGATTAAAAATCCTGTAGTTTCTTTGTTGCGACATCAGAGTTATTTTGTGTATACAGTAAATTTTGTTTTGAATTGCATGCATGATTGTTATAGGTTGTTCCCATCTGTGAGATGGTTGGATTATTTGTCTTGCATCTTTCACCTGCCAGCGTTTTTTTGTATTTCTTTCCAACCATCAAGGCGCAAATACATCATGTTGTGAATGTGGCAATGAACTCCTCAAACACTACCACCTTCCATGTATTTTGATTTTGCCATCAAATGGTAAGCATGATGGGGCGAGAGACTGATGTATTTTGCAAGCTTAATGTGGTAAGAGACCGATGTATTCTGCTTTGCCACCAAATGGTAAGCATAATGTGGCGACAGACCGAAATGAGAACATCAGAGCATGTACTCTGTGTCTACATGAAACACAAGAACCGAAGGACGATAATCGATATGGCCATATGGGTTGTGTATTCTGGTACTGTATTAGAGAGAGCATGGATGCAAATGGGTGCCCTTTAGGGCGTTCTCTGGCCCTATTTAGTTCAACTAAATGAACTAAAATTTCAAAATTCACATTAGTTCTGAAAATTTAGTTCAACTAAAAAATGCACTAGGTAGTTCGGTTTGCTCAAGATTCAGAATATTTATCAAGTTACTAACTGACTGGTTATTAACTGAGCTTGATTTACTAAGATTCATGCATGGGGAGCGGTGAGAACATATCCAGTGCACCGGTCGAATTGGTGCACCGGATGCTCCGGTGACTTTTCAACCATTAGATGATAAGACAATGGGTGAGATTTGGTCACAAGTTGGACCACGCCATTTTTACAGAAACAACCTTATAGTTTGTTGCATTTCACCTGCACTCTGTACCACACTCCCATCAATAAATCTGTGGGTTTAATTTTTTTGACCCTAACACAAAAATGGTAATATATTTTGAATCGAATGTTCGATTCCGGATCCGTTTCGGCTGTCATCTTTTTCTTGACGAGATCTTTGAAACAAGATCAATGTTGAATATGTTTTTAATTACTACCCCCTCCGTCCCAAAATAAGTGCCCCAACTTTGTACTACAGTTGTATTAAGGTTGAGACACTTATTTTGAGACAAAGGGAGTATTATTTTTTTGCTTTTTGAAACTTGACTCGGAACTAATCTATTCGGGGCAAAAGCATATGTGTGGGACATGCATGTGGAGGGAGAGGCAGTGCTACAAATTATAAAATAAATTTAAGTTTCAATAAAAATACTTGTTGAACTTTACGGTTAAGTTTGATAATAAACAAATATTAATTTTGAAAAAATGTATCATTGATCTTGTTTCGTACATATTTTCAAAACAAAAAATGTGGTCGAAGAAAAACTGCATTCGGATGTATGGATCAACATCTACCACGTTTATGTTTGAAGAAAGAAATAAAGAAAACAATGATTCAACGTGGAAGAGAACCCACGTCAAAAATTAGGATGGAGTGAGGAAAGGGTGGAGTGCGGGGTGATTTTAGCATAGAGTAAGGTTGGTTTGCAAATTTCCACCATCTATCTTTCAACGTGCTCTCATCCCTCAGTTTTTTATCAAAGGGTTCAGATATGGCCGGCGCATCCGGTGCACCAACTGCACCGGTGCACTGGATACGTTCTCAGGGAGCGGTAGGGGTGGGGGGCCTTGCTCCCTCCCCGCCCTCACCCCTTCCCCTCCCCTAGCTACAAGGTTCTATAAACCTTCTCCTAAACATCGCACAAAAAAAATATTGTGGATTACGGGTTCGGGGAGAAGATGTTGACTTTTGGTTGGACAATTATATGAATCTTACTAACGTGGAACTGTTGTGCTATGTGGTGTCATGCATGGGCATGATTTGGATATAATATGACTGATATTGATGCATCTACATATGTCAGTTAGGATAGCACAATGTTTAAACTCTTGCTAGTTAGGAATTAGGGGCGGTGCTTTCCATGTTCCTTTTCTAGCCACCTGTGGCTGCACATGTCCAAATTCGGAGTTCTAATACCTCACCATGTAGCATTACGTGTTCAAATTTGTAGTGGCGTAGAATTTTTTTTTAAAGTTTCATGTGCCAATAAACTACAGATTCATCTTGTTTCCTATAAACTAGTTGTCTCCTCCACCTCCTTTGTATAACTATCTTATTTTGCTCTTTCTATGTTTCATGATCCGGTTGTGCATTTATGATGGGTAGAACTGGATTTATTCTCAATTGGGTCGCTATTGCAAAGGATACTGCAAATTGCAGCCAAAGAGTTGCTATTCTGGGTACTCTTCTTCAGCTCCGGCTTTGAAAGTTCAGGTTTTCATATGTGCATTGGTGCTTACACGAACCAAACAACTTCAGATTTGGGAGACTGCATTGAATGATACGAGGCAATAAATTTTTGTGTTGTTGTTCATCTTCAACTACTTCATCTTGGGCTGCCATTCCATCCTTGCAAAGGACACTCTGCTAATTCCTCCTAAAAGTCATTATGATTGTGTTACAGAGTTCGAACACAAAGCTGCTGCAGCCGAATGTGCAAGGACAACTCGAGCTATGGAGGCCATTGCTAATGCGATTGTGAGTGCCATCATCCCAATGCTCAGTGAGATGATCAAGGATGAATACAACCTGGACAATCATTTGAAGAGACGCGTCAAGTCTCTCGAGCAGGAACTCATGATGGTGCAGGATGCCCTCTGCAAGGTGGCCGAGGTGTCTCAGGACCAGCCCGATGCACAGATCAAGCCCTGGGCAGGAGAAGTGAGAGAATTGTTATACGACATGGAGGACTACACTGACGATTTTATGTTGCGCAAGATGGAGACATTACTAGGGAAAATCTTATAGACAGGTGCTTACTAGTAGCGCTGGTTTATACCCCTCGCTGCTGCTACTTACTAGTAGCGCGGTTTTTTACCCCTCGCTGCTAGTAAGTTGATAGTAGTAGCGCGGGTTTTTAACCCTCGCTACTACTAAGCAGTTTTTACCGTGCCCCCCGAGACATGCCATAGTAGTAGCGAGGGGTATGAACCCGCGCTACTACTAAGTTGATAGTAGTAGCGCCGGTTTATACCCCTCGCTACTGATGTGTACTACACAACCTTTTTTTTTTGTAGACGTTGTTGGGCCTCCAAGTGCAGAGGTTTGTAGGACAGTAGCAAATTTCCCTCAAGTGGATGACCTAAGGTTTATCAATCCGTAGGATGAAAATGGTCTCTTTCAATCAACCCTGCAACCAAATAACAAAGAGTCTCTTGTGTTCCCAACACATCCAATGCAATGGTAAATTGTATAGGTGCACTAGTTCGGCGAAGAGATGGTGATACAAGTGCAATATGGATAGTAGATAGAGGTATTTGTAATCTGAAATAATAAAAACAGCAAGGTAATAAGTGATAAAAGTGAACGTAAACGGTATTGCAATGTGTGGAAATAAGGCCTAGGGTTCATACTTTCAGTAGTGTAAGTCCTCTCAACAATACTAACATAATTGGATCACATAACTATCCCTCAACATGCAACAAAGAGTCACTCCAAAGTCACTAATAGTGGAGAACGAACGAAGATATTATGGTAGGGTACGAAACCACCTCAAAGTTATTCTTTTCAATCAATCCGTTGGGCTATTCCTATAATTGTCACAAACAGCCCTAGAGTTCGTACTAGAATAACACCTTAAGACACAAATCAACCAAAACCCTAATGTCACCTAGATACTCCAATGTCATCTCAAGTATCCGTGGGTATGATTATACGATATGCATCACACAATCTCAATTCATCTATTCAACCAACACATAGAACCTCAAAGAGTGCCCCAAAGTTTCTACCGGAGAATCACGAGAAAACGTGTGCCAACCCCTATGCATAGGTTCATGGGCGGAACCCGCAAGTTGGTCACCAAAACATACATCAAGTGGCACGTGGTATCCCATTGTCACCACAGATATCCACGGCAAGACATACATCAAGTGTTCTCAAGTCTTTTAAAGACTCAATCCGATAAGATTACTTCAAAGGGGAAACTCGATTCATTACAAGAGAGAAGAGGGGGGAAGAAACATCATAGGATCCAAATATAATAGCAAAGCTCGCGATACATCAAGATCGTATCATCTCAAGAACACGAGAGAGAGAGAGAGATCAAACACATAGCTACTGGTACATACCCTCAGCCCCGAGGGAGAACTACTCCCTCCTCATCATGGAGAGCACCGGGATGATGAAGATGGCCACCGGAGAAGGATTGCCCCCTCCGGCAGGATGCCAGAATGGGTCTAGATTGGTTTTCGGTGG